ATAGACTCAATTGAGCCTTGCGTTATTTTCCTCATCTATTCCGTGGCACTAACATTCTAGATAAAGGATAATAATGATGAACATGATGGTCACCTATCACTATGACTATCGCTATGGTGCTGATAAGCTTGAACACGCAAGTCCCTTGCCTAGTCAAGAAAACTGTTATCAACCCCGGATTCTGATCGAGACACGAGTATACATTCAAAGGTGCTCGTGTCAACAAGCGAAACATTTTCGAGGTGTGTTCAAGACATGTGGGTACTCTCCCGGAAAGTTATGCATCCTTTGCATTCCATAAGGTAGTTTCCGTTCTGAGTACGTGTTGTCCATACACAAAGCGTTCTTTCTCTGGCTCATAGATTCTTAGGTGTAGATATTTCGAATGATGTTGCACTCGAACCAACGGTCAGTCATTCAAAAGCAAGGGAGCTTGAGTCTGGACCGGTGCTGGAGGATACGCAGGACCCTAGGAGGTCATTGTAGCGTATTTGGACAAGCAAATATGGCTACAGACCGGTGAAGAAGATCGTCGGGAGGTTATCTGGATAAGGAAATTTGTCTACACGATGCCTCATTTCCAATACTATCTTGGACACGTAGGACGCGCAGAACCATCAACGATGACGACTCGAAAGAATTACTAACTTCAGCTGAGAAGACATGGAAGCAATTTGCTCGGATCTCCTTTGAGCAAAGATCATTACTTACCATGTTTGATACTGGGTAGATAGAGCCTCATATATATTGAACACAGAAGTGGGCTCAAGCTTAGACCTTCATAGTCCGGTCATCATGCGTTTCCTCCAGTTGTCAAGTGAGCTATACATCCAAACAGGGCATGGACCTACTGATAGAAGACTATTTCCAGAGATTATCAAATTCGGATCTGTAGAATAATCGTTCTGGAGTGGAAGGGTTCAGGGTTCTTCTCCGTAAGTGCTCAAAACTGTGGACGCTTTACGCGCCTCGGCATCAATCCTACCACTGCTCTGTACTTTGAAAGACATTCAATGGGTCCTTGAAAACACCCGCTAGTTCATCCGGTCAATAACATATGGGTTGTTGGAGCCGATCTTCTCAGGTACAAACATGAAGGGTTGGTTATTAGGATGTCCTCACTTCCCTCGTGTTAAACGTTCCTGTGCTCTAACATATATGTGCTGTGGCGGCCTCATAGTATAATCTGCTCTGAGTCGCGACGGTTGTAAACCATAGATGCCTATCATGCCCAACGAGCAATACAGTATTTCATTAGGATATTTATCCTTGAATAAATATTTACAGAATCTCCATTCAACACAGCTATTACCAATTCATTGTTGTGCTTCTAGGCCAGGCTTACACGTGGTGCTTGTACTGGTATTTATGCTTAAATGTCTGCTCCAAACACTGTACAAAATGTTTGATTCATAGGATCTCCTTAGATGATAGACCTTAGTCTACAGTACGAAGTGGACTGGAACAGTCTGGAAGATAATAAACAAGCCCAATAAAGCACCTGATGTCATTGTGGTTGTTGTGAACCCTATCTTCTGTGAATACTGCAAGAATTTATCCGTCCATACTGAGTAGAGTGAGAAGACTGCAGGGCTTTGAATGTGAGTGACGACACTTGTCCCTCGCAAAGTCAAATGCGCAAAGGTCTGTCTTCTATGGAAGTTCCGCTGAAATTTCGGAAAAGACAAACAGACTCGATCCTGGACAAGTCTTCAGAGAATCACAGGAGGGAAATCCTTAGGAAGCAAGTGTCCAACTGTCTTAAGTATGCACTATTCTCTTAAACACCCATAACTGGACAAATCTGACAGTGGAAAGATGACCAAGCAAATGGCCCTTTTTTTCAGGGGCAGAAAACAAGAAAGCCACAAGCAAAAGAAAATGCCTAGGATTCAATAGTCAGCCCAGAGAGATAATATTAGCACACACCTATTTTAGCGCCCTTCCTTACGGAGAAAACCCATGTCAATCTATGGGACATGTGACGAATAAGCTTGATGAACAGTTGGCGTCAGGGACAAAGGCTTTCTTATTGGCTGAGTGCTTACGATGGGGAAATTACACCCGCTCTTAGCGGCAACGCCGAGCGAACCAACAAGAGATGAAGCAAAACACGGTGCGAATCAACAAACAAACGAGGAAACACTGGAACCAATGCAGCGTGGGCTCCTTCTTCTTTAGTGACGGAGTAACAACTGGTCACTAGAACTCTTGGAGCAAGCCTCTATGGGTTTAGTCTTTCCACTAGACTACAGAATGACCCCACTTGACAGGTTGTCTGCCTAAGGGAAAGAAAAGTACCTTACCCTTGCGGTCGGGAGTCTGGACCTCTAAGACTGAACACTAAGGCTCTAGGCGCCCTTGCGCCCCGTTTCCCTCGAGCCGGACTGGTCGGCTGTGCTGCTGACCGCTGGCCTTCCATCCTCCTGCCTCCCCAACTCAAGTCCTTCCCTTCCCTTCAGTCTCTCATTTTTCTTCCCTTGTCATTATTGTTTTCATCCCCCCATACCAACCCCTCTCCCATTCTTCCTCCTTTCTCACTCCATCACGTTCTCTCTCTAACCCAAGCAGGTGCCAGCTTCACTCTTTCAGCTGTTCACCTTGCTGTCCGTTCCTTTATCATCGCCGCCGATCAAGTCGGTCTCTACACTTCGGCCGATCGACTCACGACCCGACCACAACTACCCACCCGATTCATTCTCTCCTTGGGCTTCTGAATACACTCGAATAAGATTCCTCAATATCGACTGGCAGGAACTTTTTCGGATATAATGTAAGTGATGATGGAGAGACTGCCTGATGTCCTTGAAATGGTCATTGATGAGAAGGGAAATGTGACAGCACGACTTCTTTTTTGGATTAAATTCACTCATTCATCGAATACTCGAGCTCTTAAACAGCCTGCAAGAATCGGAGTCGAGACGCGTCACTAGGGAACACCTGTCCATCAACATCAGCAAAGATGTTCATCAAGCTTGTGACTCGCGGCGACAGCAGCGACAGCGATGACAATAGTTCACTTGCCCCCGCAATGATTGATCTATTGATTTCTCTCTTGGTTCTCATTCTACTCGGCATTGTATTAGTCGCTACTCTTCTGGTCCTGCGACGAAAGCGTCAAAATCAGATGAACTCCGAACTCCCAGTTCATAACGGGCAGTGCTCGCCCAATCATCGTCGTCTCACGATCTCCGCATCTTCAAACTCGAGAACACAGTCTATTCTGGTGTACGATGAGAAGCGCAGCTTGATCGAGAACTCGTCTAGCCCTCCACCCAGTCCGGTCCCTGAAATCCGCATTACGTTCCCCGAGGAGGAAGACGAGTCTGGAAAGCGCAAGTCTGGCCGTGTTGTAGTGGTGAGAATTAGTGATGCCGGTGCCGTTGGGTTGGAACCATGCAATGAAGAGCTTCCACCTTATCAGACCAGCGACGCTGAACGTTTCCAATCCCTGGACATCGAACGCATGGGCGGTCTCAAGGAGAAAGATGAATTGAAAAGATGGTCTTGAATTGCCGACCGCCGAGCGCCGACCGGTCTTTGAGGTGACCTGCGTATCTCTCCACCGAACTGATACCCGAAAGAATCGATTACTTTAAACCTTTCCATCCTTCGACGACACCGACTTCTTTCAATACATGACGATATTCTGGCGAAAATCTGCCCTGTCTTCCTGTCTGCGCCTCTTGACCATTACCGGTTTGCCTTTTTGTTTTCGACTTGCACATACGCGAATAGTCCGTCGATCCTACACTCTACACCTATTAACTCTTCCGGTCATCCGACTATACTGATGCTCGCGAGGACAATGTCATCGGCCGGATCGACTGGAAGAGTTACCAGATCGAAGGCTTACCGAAGCTAAATTGTGTATAGCAAAGGGTTGCTTCTTTTTTTTCTCTCTGCATTGCCATATTGGGATCTCTTACTACCTGGCCTTCTCGCTTCCATTGGCGTTCATCTCTTGTGCCTGGTCACTTGTGGTCCTCTCAGCCCTGCCACGTCACTAGGGTTGAAGGACGTAATGCACGCGGGTTTTCACTTTTCTTTCTTGGAGCCTCTCTCTTCCTTCTCAACCCCAGCTTTTATTTCTACCATTCTTCTTTCCCCCTTTACTTTCTCTATACTACTTTTATGCTTCTTTCATCCCTTGCAATTCTCGGTTTGCCTTTAGGGTGTCATACCACTGGATAATGTATGTAACTAGTCCGCTTTACATTACGTGGCTGCTTTCCATAGCGTGAGCCTGAATGGATGTCATTACCTGTACAGATAATCTATAAATGATCCATGAATAGTCTGTAGATCATGTTCACTCTTTGATAGTCACTTACTTTTGACAGTAAACAAAACCCCAGATAGGGCAATATGGCCCACCCATGGCAGGGTTTTTTGAATGTTCCGCGCCGAGCCGACCAATGACGCCTGGCACAAAGCTTGCATGAATACCTCGCTACCTCGCTACCTAATTGGGGGTCGCCGAAAGCGCCGAACTCCCGACGTCACGGGCGGCAGGAGATTTTTGGGAGGGTCCGGACAATCTGAACTCATCGTTCTGCTGGCCTTTCATTCTTTTCTCTTTTACTAAGCTCATAACCGGCAAGATCAATTGACAACAAGTCTCTCATTATTACGGTTTCATTTGTTCTATTCGTTGTATTTGAGCTGTCATTGTAGCCATGAACGTACTTTGAGTCGGCTTCGATGGGAGAGCACACTGGCCAGCTCAGATAGTGACTTATAGGGTACACCTACTTTCTTTTTGGTTTTTTAATTCTCACTCTGTTCTCGGATACTGAACTCAGTCCTTACAATATCAATGAAGTCTCTTGAGTGACCCAATTGCCTCGGAGCTTCTCGCATCGGAGGCCACTCTAGCACTTGCAGGCGTCTGCCAATATATTGCTCGACAATACCCCCTCCCACAACGACGAAAGCTGCGGGCAACTTTAACTGTTGGATGAACTAGATTTCATTCTACTCTGACCCGCGTGCACACAATGGCCTCGACGACAACCTCTGGGGCCGGCTATAATCGTCCGAGCTCCAAAGGCTCGCGACCTACAGCAGCTTCTTCCCCTGGAACGTCTTCGCCGCGGGTTTCCGAACCAAGTGACCTGACAACACGGCAGCAACTGCGGCCGGGAAAGACGACTAAAGCGCCGGTGGACAAGACGAAGGAATTTGAGCGCGCCTTCACAATAAAACATTTAGGAATACTCGGTGTGTTCGGCTGGATACTGTAAGCTTTCCCCCTTTTGCTCAGAGGTTTTTTTGGTCTTTATTGGATACCGTGAGCTGACTGGTCAAAATGATCCTAGGCTTTTGCATGTTGCTGGCATCTTCTTTTTTACAAAAGGTTTCCTTCTCACTCGGATGGTCTTGGAAAATAAATCGGCTTGCGATGTTCTTCCTTTCGACGATGCTTCTTCGTCTTCATCAGCCAGTAAAGGAAAGCGAGGATGCTGGCATGAAAAGTCATTTGACAAGGCTATTGTGATCATTATAGATGCATTGCGGTACGACTTTACCGTACCTTTTGTACCAGGAACGGAAAGTGAAACAGCGCACCTGTTTCATAACAACATACCAGTTTTGTACGAAACGGCCGTCAAGTCTCCCGAGAACGCTTTCTTGCTTCCATTCATTGCGGACCCGCCGACCACGACATTGCAACGACTCAAAGGACTGACGACCGGCACTTTACCTACATTTGTTGATGCTGGCTCCAACTTTGCCGGAACGGCAATCGATGAAGATAACCTCGTTGCGCAGCTACACGCGGCAGGCAAGACCTTGGTCCACCTGGGAGACGATACCTGGCATGCTCTTTTCCCTGGCTACTTCGACACTGCTCTGACACGGCCTTTCGATTCCTTCAATGTGTGGGACTTGCACACTGTTGACAATGGAGTCAACGATCATCTTTTCCCGCTGTTGCATCCTGAGAACTCGACAAAATGGGATGTCATTTTCGGTCATTATCTCGGCGTCGATCATGCTGGGCACCGATATGGACCAGACCACCCGGCTATGGCCGCAAAACTCCGCGAGATGGACCAAGTAGTCCGAGACATCATTGCCAAGCTAGATGACAAGACACTTTTGGTGGTCATGGGTGATCACGGAATGGACTCCAAGGGCGACCACGGGGGCGAGTCGAATGACGAAGTTGAGGCGGCTCTCTGGATGTATTCCAAGAAAGCAGTCTTCGGCCGCACGAGTTGGGAGACCGCTAATCCTCCAAGAACCGCACGGGAACGGTTCATTCCCCAGATAGACCTCGTACCCACTCTGTCACTTCTTCTGGGGATGCCAATCCCCTTCAACAACCTTGGTTCTCCGATTGAGGAGGCTTTCATCGGAGTTGGGGGTAACGGTTGGAAAAATCTTGCCACAGTAAACCGCCTGACCTCTGCACAGATCAGACGGTATCAGCACGAGTACACATCCTCGCATGGTGCGGCTGAAGCCCAGTCACTTGGATCAGAGGGGCTCTGGGAGGCCGCAGAGAGCGCCTGGCAGCAGCTCTCCAGAGCTGGTAAATCGAATGTGGCAGCTCCGCGTTCGGCTTCTGAATTGCATCACGAGTACCAGCGGCACGTCTTGCATATCTGCCGTGGGCTATGGGCGAAGTTTGACGTCTCCAGCATGTTGCAGGGCATCGCAATTCTTTCTGCAGCGGCCGTCCTTCTCGTCTTCTACGCACGAGGTATGAAAGCCGCCCGAACAGAACTCACTCAGTCTCTGCTCTCCTCCGTCGGGGTGGGATCAGTGTTGGGTGCTGTGACTGGAGCTTGCTTATGTTACTCTCGCATGCTGTCTGCTCGAGCAGCCGAGTCTTGTGCTCTGCTGGCTGCCGTAGGAAGCATCATTGGCGCTTCGTGGGCCATTTTCGGTAAACCTGGGCGCATAGCGTTGCCTCTCCCCAATAGTCTTTGGGGTTGGCTCGCAATTATCTTCACAGTGTCCCAATCGATAGGTTTTGCATCTAACTCGTACACAATATGGGAGGATGAAATCCTTCTGTTCTTCCTTTCAACTTTTGGAGTCGTCGCGGGTGCATCATCGATGCGGCAGAAGTCAACCGCGGACCGAGTGCTTGGAGTCTATCATTCAATTTTATTTGTGATTCTGGGAAGAGTTGCGTCCTTTTCCCGCTTGTGCCGCGAAGAGCAGATGCCATTCTGCCGCTCCACCTATTATGCTTCCACGACGTCCTCTACGTCTGCTCCCTGGCAACTTGTCATTCCCCTTCTCGTGACCCTCATCCTTCCGGCGGTTGTCCGGTCTTTCTATGCGGGCTCCAAATCCTATGAAGGCGCAGCGACATTGTGGATCGGCTTTGCGTTCCGGTTCGGTCTCTTTATTGCGTCCATTTTCTGGACGCTCGAGGCTGCCGACGACGGTGAATGGGGCCTTTTGAGCAAGGAGACCCTGAAGACCATACGCGTATTCCTCGCTCAGATTGTCCTTGCTCTTGCATTTGCCGCGGGAACCACCGCGTTCGTTTACACCAAACCGTGCGTCAGCATCAATGTCAGCCAAGGAGGCGCTGGATCCGAGGGTACAGAACCGGCCAGGAAGACCGTTACTATCTTGGGGTTCGGGAATGTCTATGGCACACGAGCTTTCCTCCTCGTCATTAATTTCTGCCTGGCGATCATTCTCATGCAGAAACCCATGGGCCAAGGGGCAATCGGCCTGTTGCTGTGGCAGATCCTCTCTCTTCTTGAGATTCTTGACACGAATGGGCTTGTCACCGGCAACTCGGCCATCGGGCCTGTAGTGTTGGGCCTGCTTGGGTCGTTCCACTTCTTCAAGACTGGACACCAGGCCACCCTCACCAGTATCCAATGGGAAACTGCGTTCATCCCTTTGTCTTCTGTTCAATATCCTTGGTCGCCCATTCTGGTAATTCTCAACACGTTCGGCGCGCAGATCCTCACTGCAATTGCGGTTCCTCTTACGGTGTTGTGGAAACGACCCCTCCAACTGCACGACAGCAGCTCATCCACCACATCCAGCACGCCCACCACCAGAATCCTGTCCGATGTGGCGCAAGCGGCCGCGACATATATTCTTTACTTTGCAACGATCAACCTAGCAACCACGATGTGGGCTGGCCACCTGCGCCGCCACCTCATGCTCTACCGGATCTTCTGCCCTCGATTCATGATGGGGGCTGCTGTTCTTGGTGTTGTGGATATTGTGTTGATCTTATTCTCTGTGGCTGGCGTACGGTCCAGTATATTGAGTGTGGCCGAAATATTTGGCTGGTAGTGCTGCCCATGTATTGCGCACGTCATGTGTCATTGGCATTTACAAGTACACCTTCGTGTATCCATTATTTACAGAACATCATGCACAGATGTAAAATAGCATATCCATTGAACAAAATGAAAATAGAAGCTAATCGTATTCTCGCCACATTGCGTCGGCACTCGCTACTTAGCACTTAATCCAGAAACCCAGGGCCCAGCCACTACCCGCAAGCAGCCTAGCGTGAAGCTTATTAAGCAAAAAGAAGGTTTCTTACATAATGCCACCCTGCAGCGGAGCGGGAATTTCTATTTTTCCTAAAGTTTATTCTATATTAGCTGCAACTTTATTTGGGCGCGTAATATGATTCGCTAACTGACAGATTTCATCTTTGCACTTCGTAATGATGGAGAATCGATCCTTCCTCAGATTTACAAGCATGCTGGTCGTCCATGGTTTTAACTAACCAAGTCCTATCTACCACTAGATAGCTAGAGCTAATGGAAGTCGAGACTATCGGATAACGCACCGCACAGCATGTAAATAACAGCCCGGATTACGTTCAGCGCTGTATGGGGTCTTTGGGGGGCTAGGGCTACGGAGCCTGAGAGAGGTCTGACCGTTGTGGCGACGGCTGAGTGACGGATACTGGCCGATGCCCTGATTTCTGAGCTCGCTCTGGTACGGGGTACTCTGGAGTTGGTATCACCGAAATCGATCTGCAGTCGGCGGTATTCAAAAGGTTGCTTACAGTCTACTATAGTGCGCATATGGTAGGGATCTTGCATGACAATGGCAGTGATAGCAGGCTCTGCCGGGACGACCCAGCTGGAAATTGAATTCGCGCGCAGTGACAATAGCGTCCGTCTGAAAGGAATCACTAGGAGCGAGGGATCAATGATACGTACCAAAGGGAGTCTCTGGCAACAACAGATTAGGAATTAGGGTATTGGAGCCGATATGTGCAGGGTCGCTAGGGCTGCTCTGGCGACTAGGTTGCTGGATTCAGTAGGAGTCTGAGTGGGCCCTCGCCAGTAACAATAAGACTAGATGCTCATGGAGTAAAATTACTGGGAAGTTCGTATCTTATGAGCTGGCTATCCATCTCGATAGGGTGGTTTGTTCATTTCTTCGTTTCCAGTGGGGCTGGCCAGGGGTCTGCGATGTCTGTCAAGTTTATTATTACCTGACGAGGTCATCTTTTTGCTTCGTTTTCTTTTTCTCTTTTTTGACGGTACCATTCTCTGTTTTCTATATGCGACGATATGCAGAATTCTTCTGTGCGGGATAGGTGACGTTGGGTAGCCAATGTGATATCCAAGTCTCAATCTCAAAAATGACAATGACTGCCCCAAACCCGCGCGGAACGGGCCTGGTAGTCCTGATATGGATCCTGACAAGCATCTCGGTGATCGTGGTCTCTCTGCGCGTCCTGGCCAAAACGAAGATTCGCCAATTCCGGACAGACGATATCGTGATGATCTCTGCGCTGGTACGTTTGCCTCCCGTGCTCTACACAGAAGACCACCAAGTTTTCAGTCTGACTGTACCAACACTGTCTGTAGATCCTTGGTATCATCGCCGGGTCCATGAACACCATCGCAGTCAAATACGGATACGGTCTACCGGACGAAATCGTCCCCGAACCTGGCGCGACGACGGGTCGAAAATTCTACATCATAGGACAGGCCTTTCTGATCCTCTGTACAGCCATCGGCCGCGCCGCCTTCGTGCTATACCTCCTAGCCATCCTGGGCGGGCAGAAATGGCAGCGCATCATCCTGACGGCTCTGGCCGTGATGGAGGTGATCTTCAATTCTGTGTCCATCATCTTGATGTTTGCTTCTTGCTCGCCTGTGTCGATGCTTTGGGATTATGCGGTTGAGGGGACGTGTGCGGCGGACTCCATCCAGGTCAACTTTGGGTATTTCCAGAGCGGTATGCCATAGCCGATTCCCTGTTAGGGACAGTGAACTGACGATGCGATGCCTCAGTATTCAACATCTTTGTCGATCTGTACCTAGCCGTCGTCCCGACGTATATCTTCTGGCACCTCAACCTCAAACTCGGGATCAAAATCAGCTTGGTGGCCCTCATGAGCGGTGGCCTGATGTAAGCCTTGCCTTCCATCTTCTCCCGGCCCTGCCCTGTGCTAATGTTGATACAATTGAAGTGCTATGGCCGCCGCCCTCGCCAAAACCATCCAACTCCCCGAAATCCACAACGACGCGCTAGGCGGCACAATCAACCTCCTCCGCTGGGGCTACATCGAAGCAAACCTGGTGATCATCACCGCGTCGCTACCGTGTCTCCGCTCGCTCATTCTCTCGGGGTTCCATTATATGACGAGTAGCGGACAGCGGTCTCGGTCGTATGAGCTTGGTGCGGCGTTTACGGGGACACGGGCTGGCACGACGTCAGTTACAGCGCAGAAGACCTGTCATAGAAAGACGGACTCGCGGTTGCGTGGGATGCTGTCGACTAGGAATCGGGGCGATGATGGGGCGAGTGTTGATCATATACTTGGCAGTCGGAATAGCCTTGATGGGGTGGAGACAGGTGGGAGTAGTCGGGACATCGGGACGGGGTCTGCTGGTATTCGGAAGCAGGTTGAAGTGACGGTTGTTGCGCATGATGATGGAAAGGGCGTATAGACTTTATATACTGTATATTAGAATAGAGTGTGATGTATACCAGAGGTCCTTTGAATCGATAACTTATCCTCAAACCTGTCTCAATCGCCGTACTTGAAGAGTGGCCACATTTGGTTCTCGTTATCTGAGCTACTATATGTAGAGCGAAACCTGTCCAGCATCAAGAATTCTGTTGTATTGCCTGTATCTAGATTACTAGTCAGAAGGGCATAATCTGATTCTGCCTTTCTATCTCATGATCTCGACTGACATTCATTCATACCCTACGAAACACTAAGATACTACCAAGGAGACAAGGAGCCGATGTAGGAAAGCGAGGAATAATTTATGATTCCTATAGCTTGATGTAAGCTAATGTATATATATATACAATTTGAACACATATCCCATCATCATCATCTAAAACTCATGACATGCATATAATGCAGGCATAACAATATAACACTCTCATAGGGACATAATCATAGACCCTATCTAAAGTCTAGGACTAGGACTAAAGACCTTTCTGAAGCGCAAGTGAGACAGGTCGCGCATGATCTCGACGGTGCTCTTGATGTTCTGCTTGACAATAACCGAGGTAGGCTTGGAGAAGAGCTCGTCAATCTCTTCGAGGGACTTGTTCTTGGTCTCGGGCATGAAGAGGATCTGGTAGAACCAACCCAGGACGGCGATACCTCCGTAGAAACCGAGAGTGAGACCGATCCGAGTCATCGAGTTCATCATCGCAGTAAAGTTGTAGGTGACGATGAAGGAGCACAGGAAGAGGTTGGCGTCCGCAGTGGTCATGCCGTAACTACGGAGATAAGTGGGGAAGACCTCGGCGGGGATGACCCATGTCAAGCAGGCATAGGAGCCGAAGAAGCCCATGTAAAGGATGATACCGGTCAAATAGAGACCCTCAGCCGTGGCAGGATAGGTCTTGTAGTCGACGGTGTAGCCAGCTCCCACGAGCACAAGACCGATGAAGAAACCAGGAAGCATAACGTTGGCCCAGTAGCGTCGGCCGAACCGCTCCATGTACAGCACTGCAGGAATAGTACCGATTAAGAGGGCTCCACCTCCAACGAGCGACATATAGACACTGGTACGGTCGTCGAAGCCAATCTTCGTCATCAGGACGCCCATGTAGTACATAACTGCGTTCACACCCGTGAATTGACCGAGGAAAACCATGATGTTGGCGTAGATCATGGCGCGGCGAGCCCGGGGGTTGGTGAAGAAGTCCAGCCAAGCCCACTTCTTGGTGCTGGCTTGTTCCTCGTTCTCAGCGGCGACAGCTTGGCGCATGCCCAGGAATTCCTCCTTGGACTCGTAAGCGTCGAAGCCACGAATACGCTTCCATACGCCATACGCCTCGACCGGTCTTCCCTTGTGCATCAGGTAACGGGGACTCTCAGGCATGAACAGCATGCCAACCAGAAGGATGGTCGAGAAGACCAGGGAAGAGCCGAGAATGAAGCGCCAGTCGCCGGCGACACCAAAGAACATGGCGGCCACCGCATAGCCGAGGACTTCACCGAAGGCAATGTTTAACTGATACAAAGAGACCAGGTTACCACGGATCTTACCGGGCACTAGATATCAGTCAGTACCCATGCTCGCCAAAGATCGAAGCGAAAGGAGGAAGCATACCAGACTCGGCGACGTAGACAGGGACAGTACCACCCTCAAGACCGACACCCATGCCAAGGACGAAACGGCCGCCAAACATCATGCCAAAGTTGATGGCACCGGCTTCCAGTCCAGCACCAATAGTGTACAGGATGCAGGAGACAATGATGGCCATGCGCCGACCAAGGTACTCGTTGCAGGGACCAAGGATCAGGGCACCGCCGACGGCACCGAGGGGCATACCGGCGTTGACCAGACTAGCTTGCGAGGAGGACAGATGCAAAGCGATGGGCATGGTTAGGTTCGCACCACTGATCAACGACTGATCCAGACCAGAGAGTAGACCACCCATAGATGCAAAGGCCACCAGAACATAAGTGAAGTAAGCGGGGTTGGCGAAAGTGAGCTCAAGCCGAGACTTCTTGATGCTGCCGAGCTGTACTTCCAGTTGCTGGAGCTCAGCATCCATGGCAGCTTCGTTGAAAGCCTCGGACTTGGGATCATTTCGAATATCATCCATCTCTTCGGCGACCTCCTTGTGGTCGTCGAGAGGAACCTCGACGTCTTTGACAGCCATGACGGGCAACGCAGGAGAATGATTATAGAAGTAGTGTATTGAGAGGTAGCCGGAGGCAGTAGGTAGTGTACAAAAGACCTTCACCGATGGAAGGCTTTACCCAAAGTATAAAGAGAAGAGGGGAGGACCTGCCGTTCCCTACAAAGACACAGTCTTCTAGTTAGGAAGAGGACAACCGCCTGTAGAAAGGATGTCGGAGAGAAGAATGATTAAAACGAGGGAAAGGGGAAGAAGAAACCCGGGGGATATTTATACGGGCACGGCATCCCGGGGTACAGTCCTGGGCCGCGGAGGGACGGTCATCACGGGTTTAGGGCAGGAAACAAGCGGGACAAGACTTTAACGCGGAAGTGGGGACAGAAAGAAACCAGGGAAAAAAAGGGTAGCGTAACCGATGGAACAGGTTACTCCGAATTCAACAGGCTTACAACAGCAAGCCAGCATTTCTGGCACGGTGGGGGGGAATGGCCGAAGCTTAAGGAATGATGATCACGATCACGGCCAATGACCAATTGACGTGGTGGTGTGGTGCTCATTCTCGAGGCAATTTGAGTCAGTCTTCCCCCTCCTCTCGGTCGTTTTCACCTAGCAGCCATAAACTCAACTCGATGAACTCAATGAGTGCCATCTACATACTTTGACAATAGTGCAAAAGAATGCGGAGGCTTGAAGTAGCAAAGGTTGGGGAACGAGACGAATCCCCGTGGAGGCAAAGAGCCGGTTGGTGTGGAGATCTGGAGAAAACAAGTGGACTGTGGACGACTCAGGACGCGACTAGAAAACTCGATTCATGAAGTGCAACCCCCAGGCACACCCATAGCCAGTCAGAGCCAGATCTTGACCTCCCACTCGTGCATTGCACCACGCAGTCATCCCGAACTGTCGGCGACACTTCGGTGGAATTCCATCCAATTGCATCACCTGTCCGTGGTCTAAACTCCGAGTGTTGCCAGTTAGCTAATGCGAATGAGGCATTTAATGCTCGTCGATCCCGAAAGTGTCCAATTGCTGAACCAAATCGACCGGTCAAGTACCGGCTCTACCGGGATGCTGATTGCTCGTTGAACGCCACCAAGACGGACACAACCCGAGACGCATCAGCCAAGAAAGGCAGTACTTGCCCTCGAAATGCAGCCGAGACTTTCATTCGCCGTGGTGGGTTCAAGATCCGCGCCAAAAGGCTTAGTGTGGTGTCCCAGAAGGTCAGACCATGAGAGGAACAACCAAGGAACAATTCAGCCCGTGGGGGACTCGCTAAGGTCACGTGCCAAAACAGGCACTGGCGACAGTATAGGTACGGATTACTGAGCAGTCTTATGACCCTTTTTCAAAGCTTTCAGAACGAGACAGGGAATTGTAAATAGATTCGAATAGAAATATTATTTGACGATGTGAAGAGATGGTACAGAAACAAGCAAAATGGCCTAACGCTGTGTACAGACTTCTTCACGATCCAGAGCTTAGACAGACACCATCCAGCGATGTCCGTCTCGGGCGTGGACTCAAAATTAGTAGTAATATCAAGACATAACAACTTCATTCAGTGGCCGTTGAGGGTAACACCTCCAATTCCCCTCCCTCCCCTCCCTCTTACCGCCGTCCCGGCATCCCAACCGGCTTTCGCACACTCGGATCCGCCCCTCCCCCGTAATACGGTGACCCCGGCCGACTGCCGCCCGGAGGAGTCTGGGCCGGGCTAGGCGAGCGCCCTCCATGTAAGCGCGCTCGGAGTCTCTCCTGCGCAGACGCAGCCCGCTCAAGAGAGGCTTGGCCGGATGCGATTGTCTGATATGATCCCGCTCGTTGACTGGGGAGAGGTCGTGCCCCGGACTGATGCGCAGTCGACGGTGTGGGTGATCCCGAGGGAGGTGTCACCACTGAGCCAGAGGGAGCGCTGTGCACCGTCGACAGCGGGGCGCCTGCGCTCCCGGGTGCCAGACGTCCTCGTCGCAGACTGGCCGTTTGTGACGCTGGTGGCTGTTGAGAAGCTCCCGAGTCTCCCCATAGATCGCTCAGCCCGCCACCGCGTCCCGGACCTGAGGTTGTGACCGCTGAACCGTGTCCGTAGGCGCCTGGCTGGATCTGAGTGGTTGCGATGGTGCGGGAAGGGGCGGGTGCTGGAGCTTTAGGGTCCGGAGGGAGCCATGATGGAAAGGGCCGGCCTTTCTCTGTGTAGTAGGCACGTAGGACGTTGGAGATGTGAGAGCAGTCTTCGTTTTCTGGGTCGTCGGCCTCGTCTCCGGAAGTGATGGCACGGCGGAGGGAGTTGAGTCGCGTGCTAATGTTGGAGATCGCTGACGACGAGGTAATCGAAGAGAAATAGGAGGTCATTATTCTGTGATTTGAATGCCGGACGAATATGTGCAGAAGCTAACCGGCCGCGAAGGAAGGTCCAAATTGCACGGTGGCGGGGTCGGAAGCTATTCGGAGGGAGAGGATGGAAGGATTAATTAAGCTCGGCGGCACGGGGGACTGAAGTTAATGTGCAGGTTCAGGATAATGGGGGATTGCATGAACTTAAATCATCGACAGCAGGATTGAAGCCTCGAAGTCTATAGAAACCAAGAGGTAGAGCAGCTGTGGTCTCTTGCGATGAGATAGATTCCCGTGTCTCTGCGCTGGCGTGTTTCAACAGCGGATCCAGTTACCGCCGCACGTGAGTCCCCGGCCGTGGAGAAATCACTTAACGCTACTAACATACTTTACACTGGCAGATATTCTGACAAGACATGATGCATATTCTGATAATCTCCTAGGCTCTGTACATGTTGTCGAACAAAATATTCTCTTGAAGCTTCAAAATCAGTCGTTAAACAAGTAGATGCAATGACTGGGTATGACAAGCCCCGATCGCAGGAGTAAGTTGTGAGGAAAAACCGAAACGCCGTGAATGTAGCTCAAACAAATTACTTTTTCTTCTATATCCTTCAATTCCTCCAAGGGTATGACCCAATTTAAGCCAGGATGCTCTCCTTGCCTGCTCCTTCGGTTTCGTATTCGATTTCGACCCGAGGACCCTTCTTCCGGGGCTTCGCTTGTGGAGCAGCACGCTTTCTCTTGGCCCCAGGCTTGGGCTTCTTGACCTCCTCATCGCTGGACGCCTCCTCTGAGCCGCTCTCCTCATCACTGTCTTCATCCTCGTCATCATCGTAATCACTCGAGTCGTCGGCCGAGTCTCCACCCAACCAGTCCTCGATATCCTCGAGATCCTCGTCGTCCTCAAGATCACTGACATACTCCACCTCACCAACGCCCTCTTCCTCTTCATCCTCAATCACTTCACCGTCATCAAGATCCTCATCCCGCTCACCCTCACCAGTGCGCTCCAGACCGCGCAGGACCTTCTTCCAGATCCCCTCCTCAACATTAAGCGGCCGGTCACCGTACGCGCCGCTCCGCAACCGCTCAATCAACTCACGCTCAATCGCTCGCTCAACCTTGGCAGCAGACTCAGCCTTGCGCTCTCTCGTCTCCTCCCTCCGCCGGATCTTCGGCGCCAACTTCGGCACAATCTTCTCACCCAGCCGCTCTTCCTCCTTCGCAATTTTCCGCATCCGAATAGCCACCTGCGTCAGCCGCGTGAGACGCTGCTTGCACTTATGAATAAGAAACTTCGGCCAATAGATCAGCCGCTCGTCGAGCTGCTCGAGCGCCTTGGCGTAGCTGGACGACAATCTGATCCGCTCCCAGAGCTTGCTGGGCATGTGGGCTCGTTCGATCGTCTTCATGTACAGGTACATGGCGCCGGTCTCTGGATCCGACCGCACGGTAGCGTACCGGGAGTTGGCCAGCGGGCAGGACTGCCGATTGCAGAGACCGCTGACATTGTATTCATTGCGGCAGAAGTTCTGGCCTTTGGTTGTCCTAGATCGTGCGGTATTAGTACGTGCGTAAATTTCATCGCTGAGATTTTGTTTTTCGCGGGCGGCGAATTCGACGAGCACAGGGTTTCACTCACTTGAGCTTGTAGGAGCAGAACTGCTGGTTGATAACCTGCCAGACAATCTCGTCGGAGGACATGATGTTTGATCCCGGCTGCTATGTACACCGGATTGACCTGCCCAGCCTGTTCGGAGGTATGATAGTTTTCTGTTGACCTGATGGATCGAAAGCTGATTTTCTCCGCAAGGAAAAAAAAAGTTGCGGGTAGCAAGGGGTCACGTGGTCGGCGCTTATCGATTGCCGGCTTATCGTTATCAACTGATCTATTATTTGTTCCTGTGTTTACCACAGCCAGCTGATACTCAGATGCGCCAGTATGCTATATGCAAGTGATGCCGGCCGTTTCAACAAAATGCAGCGGCAATATGTTGAGATCAACGCTAAAAGATATTTACATCACCATCCTTCCATCTGTAGCGGCCCACCATCCCATTCCGTCCCATTCATCATGGCCCCATTGGCAGCCATTTCCGCCTCCTCATTCATCATTTCCTCGCCGGCAAACCCCCAACCCATAGATTCCAGCTCGCGTACAAAGAAGTCCCGCTCTTCTTCCATCATGGACGCACCCTCTTCGCCGCCCATAACATCCTTGTATCGACGTAGGTGCCACCAGTGTGTCAGCCCCCTGAGTGCTTGTTCGAGGGGCAATGCCTCCTCCACTTCAGCATCAATATCCGAACCAGCAAGCCAGTCATCCCGTAGCTCCGGGCGGCAGTATAGATAAATCGCAGTGATGACACGCATGTTGCTCTGGCGCCATTTGCGGCCACAGTAGGGCACCTGAGATTTGAACAACTTCAGGGTGTAGAATCGCAGGTGCGGGTCAGGAATCTTGAGCCCCTTTCGTAAGATCGTGCTGGACTTGTATTGAACGAGTAGCAGACATCTGTGTGCTTTGTCCCGCGTTATCTTCTGCATGATGTGAAGGTAATTGATGGCAGAGAAGAAGTTCCGAAACGAGAACACCGTGATGGGCTCTTTCGGCGGAGGAGCAGTCGGAAATCCCAGCTCGTCAACTTCAGGACGATGAGGGCCTTCTACCAGTTCAGGGAGAG